AAATGCTTTTTCCGGAAGATTTTCGATTCCTTGTACATATTTTGGTGTATTGAAAAAAGCGAGGTATCTACTGAAATTAATTGGTTCACAATTTACAGGTAACTCGAACAAAATCAGTACCGGATCTTGTGAATTATGTAAGAAGAAGCAGTAAATACAAGCCTCAATGGGGCTATACATTCTGGCCTGATTATGATTTGGTAGGATCAAAAATTTCAGATGTAATTAAATCTGACTGAACAAATTTATCTACCACTAAAAATGTTTCAGTACGATGACTTTTGGCATGATCGTTACAGTGGATTCAGACCACTTTACAGAAGTTCATACTATCCACGGCGTTATTATCATCCAGATATAATGCCAAATCCGCATTACTGGAGTGGACCGTATACCATATGGGCAAAACATAGAGGATTTTGGTAATTTTAATTTCAAATTATTTTAATTATTAAATATTGAAGGTCATGGAGCACTCATTTGTTTGTATTTCCTGTCAGATCTCATTACAGAAGGATTCTGGAGAACTGGATTTATTCCAATATAATGAAAACTATGAAATGTTTTTGCAAATTCATTGGAAAAAAAGTGTGATGAGAGATGTGTGCCATCTAATGCTACTTTCCAGAAAAGGATTGTGGCAGAGAGGTAATACAACTCCGCATGTTTACTTTTTTGAAATGTTCAGGTACGATTACAACTCACCATTCTACTACCGAAGGTACTTCACTTATTATGACGACTATCCACGCTATATTTATATTCCGTTTCGCACTAGAAACTATACACCAGAAATTACTACACTCTACGGTCATTACTGCTGAAAAGCGAAGCTCATTCCTCAATAAACTCCGTGTGGCACAATTAATCAATGCTTATCTAAAACAGTTTTCAGTCCATTTTCACAGGAAAACGTGCTGCACTTGAACACATACTTTACTTCATTTAGTGCCTATGTTTCATAGGTGTCCATTCTACTAAACTCATGTGATGCATTAACCTGTTTTCCTTAGTATGTATCAAATAACAAGTTTATCTCATGTTAGATTCAATAGTTTGGTGTTATATAATATTTATTTCTCCATTCCATCACCACACTTTTTCCACCATCACAAAATTCAGATTAAAATAAACACCAAAATTTATTGCTCTACTGATTCTTTTGTCAGCCACAAACAAACTTCTTAGCCACAAATGAAGTAAATCTTACGAAATAGTGAACCAGGATATATTATAAAATGGAAACTGTAATAAAGAACCAATAAAACAAGAAACAATAATATCACAGACAATACATAACATAAATAGATAAGCTAATATATAAAAACAAGGAAAATATAATGTCTAGCTTACTGAGGTCACTTATCGCTATCGAAGCTATATTTGAAAGTAACTACATTCGGATAAAACTAGCAATAATTATCAATAATTCTGAAAATTTGCCAGTCTCGAAAAATACAAAGATGATATGGAAATTGGCAGAGGAGCATCCACCGTTCTTATTCTAAACTGAAAAGCACTGTTGACTATATGGCACAGACATCATAAAGCTGCACACTATAGAGAACAATGAAGAGATGAAAATGATAAGGGATTATACGTAATAAATACACATATGGAAGGAATTATGAATGGCCATAATCACTGATAACTGTAACATAATCGGCGAATTTTAAACTAATCACATCTGATCAAGAAAAAAAATGCAACTGTCCATATAAAATGCAAAATCAAGATAATGGACACAAAAATAATAAATTCCTATAAACTTCAACAAGAAGTCTGCCACAATAATGTCAATGAGAACAAACGGAAACTATCGTGACAAATTAAAAAGGATGATATCATTTCTACAAGAATGTTACATACCTAACAGGTATATACAATATATGTTAGCGACTGGAATTACTTGAGGAACCCCATTATTAAAAAACCTTTCTTAAATGCCTGCTTACAAAAATGGAAAAAGAATACGTATTCTTCTTTTGGCAACAAGATCACTGGCCATATTTTGACTTAGATTAAGAAAAGTGAGTTAAAAGCTACAAGCACAGAGATAACTTCAAAATATGAATTTTACAATAGGCACTGATATCTAAAAAGTGCCACAAGAAACGTAGACGAATACATGATTAATGGAACCTAGTATCAAAAAAATACATCCTTCAGTATTTAAGATTATATTAACAAATATCGCATTAATTAGTATATTCCGGTCTCACGAAAACTATTGGAAAACTCAGAAGAAAAGTAAAATGTGATTTACTGCATATGAATAAAATGAAAACAACGTATTTTAAGAAAGAAAATAATGCTCAGAAATATTCATATGGTTTACCACCAATCTCTCTATCCATCAAAAATTAGAAAAATGCATCCAACAAACAAAGTAAAACTCAAATATAATAGCAGTAAAATATAAAACAATTTAATAATAGATAATTTAACGTTAAAACAAATGCTGTTATTCTGAAATGCATAAAAATGAGCATGTATAGAATAAAGAGAAACAAATACCAAAAGTAAAAGCAAGGGACAATTTCTTGCATTTACAAGAATCACACAAATATAAACAGCAATATCTTGTCCAAGATGCTTGCATAAATGACTCTACCTGGCACGTAGAGAGAATCTTAGAAATAAATTTAAAGCTTCATTTGAAACCAGCACCCGCTGTTCAGTTAACTTCAAGCAAACTTAAAAGAAAAAAGATTATGTAACAAATATTTGAAAAAAATCATAAGAATTGCAACTCAAATAAAATAACTAAATCGCGTGATCGTAAAAACAGTTGTCTAAAAACTATAGAAAAGAAGTAGTGATGATAAATTAGTAAGCTGTGCAATAGAAAAAAAAATGCATTTGAAAACAATATATCATGTAAATTCGCAGAAATTCAAAAGAAACATAACAGGAAATAATCGATATATTCATACTAACTTCGACTTTTCATTATAATTGGAACGAGCTCATGCAGAATGAATAAACGTAAAAAAATGGATCTAATCATTATCGTTGCCAATGCATTTAATAGAATGCAAAGAATTTTTAAATAAGCTGAGAAGACTGATAACCGCGCGCAGTGTGCTCCTATACAATTTTTAAAAACTATATTTTTAAAGAACTAGAATTACTGCAAAAATAGTGCTGAAGATACCTAATCAATTCTGAGACACTCGTCTAAGATCCAAACGAGGAGACTGCCAGTCCAAAACATCCTATTTATGCTCCAAGTAATAGGCCCTGTATAATACCTTACTTGATATGCTGTAAAGCAATGAAGCAAATTATTATGAAATCAAAAATAAATAAATGAAAGCACACTGTACCCGCATCTGGAAATAAAGATTTCGATTGCTAGCTAGCCGATATCTAGCTAAGTTAAAATTCTTGGACAGCGAAAGGTCGTCTAGGGAAGATACGCAGCTCCGAAAGTTTATCAATTCGCTGTGACAGTTCTTCTAGACGTTTCAATGTTGGCTTTACATACACGTAAACGAATTCAGCTACCGTATCATTGTAGAAAACAGTTTGCATTTCAGTTCTAAAAAAAGTCTGCCATTAAATGCTCTAATGAATTGACTTTATCATTAGAAAACAGAAATTTGCAAAACGTCAAATCAAATTACTTGATATTCTGCTCGCAAACTTCCATTTCACGAAGGAACGACTTAACCTTATACAACACTTGATCAAGATACCAGGCTTGTGTGTATAAATGTTTTTCATTGAATCTTGCAATCCACCCACGAACCTTAAAAACAATATCTGTTTTCACATTAGGCTTAGTTTTAAAAAGTAAAACAAACCTGATAATCATTGAAAACCTGTTCTTCAACGGAATTAATTGTCGAATGTAATGTCTGCACAGCGTGGAAAACGTGTACACCTACAAAATATTGTAAATGAGTTTTATTCATAACACATATGCATACTGCCCGCGATGCGCTGATCTGCATTTTTCGCTATCTACAAATCCAAATTTCTTGGAATTTCTAAATTTAAATTTAAGAAATATAATTTAAAAAATTCCTTCAAACAACATTTAAAAAACTAAAGAAAGACCGATACCAGGAAAACTGCACTGCGGTATGAATGGAGATGAATTTTTGTCGAAATATAATACCGAAGAGCACTTCAACGACTGTGAGACTGACCGCATCACTAAATTTCAAATTTAATTAACTTTTCAACAGCATGAAAATGACGTCAGTGCTTTGCGAGTATGGAGAGCATAAGCACATGCGGATCATAAGAGAGAATCATGTCGAAAATGAAAAGTTATAGAAATTGCTACATTTCCGAAAGGAAAATAAAAACAAGTTTAAAGGATATGCTTCTATCTATAAATTATCGAAAGAGATGCAAGCACTTTCTACCTAGATTTTTCCATGAAACCAGAATTCTTACCTTCAAAATCATATTGACCATTTTTTAAAACAGCCATGTTTACAGCAGCAGAAAGAAGACCAACTGGTATAACTTCGCATATGATGGCAAAATGGTCAAACCTAAAAGTGGTTAAATATTTAGAAATATCAAATTCATTTTGCACAACTTAGGAAAAACAAATGTAAGATATTATCATGAATGGATCGTCCATTAATGAAGTAAGCGAAATACTTATCATCGCTTTTGCTAGTAAAGTTACCTACTCGATTAGTTCATTAAAAAAAAAAAAACGTGACAATTTTTTACAAAAAAGTGCAATACGAATCGTAGTTTTTCTTCCCTTCTGTAAGAACGAGGAACTCTAAAAACAAGACAAAGATCTACAACGTTTCAAAACATAATTATCATATAAATCATAATTATAATCAACATAAACATAATTAACTGCGCTGCAGTAATTATGTTCATGTTGACTTTTTTCATTAAAGTAGTATAATGTATGCAATCGAGAAACTTTAACCTTTGCCAACCAGTCACAATGATGCCTCGAAACTGCTTGAATTTAGAGTGATGTTCATTCATCTGTTTTAACCAACTTATGTGGTTATTCAAGTAATGTTGAACATTAGAAGCATACTGATCTGGACCATCGGCACCTAAGATGAGAATAAATAATAACTTGCAAAAAAAAAAAAAAAAAGAAAATCGTAGAGCAAAAAAGAAACATAATATAAATTACAAAACTTTGCATTTTCCAAAACTCAACTTTGTAAGCAGAAGCTCCCCAAACGTACGAAAACATTGAGGATAATCTCTGCCAAAAATCAGGTAACAACTGATCATCCAAATTTTCCATATAATTCCATACTACTGGCTCGACCAAATTACTCAAACTAAAAGTAATGAGACTGATAAAAGAAATAAAAATTATGACGTCGAATATTTCTAACAAGTTTGGGACACAAATTACATTTACATTTAAGTAAACAGTGATGCATATTTCCGGGGAAAAAACATGGCGATTGGTAAAATACTCAGCACTACCACTACTGAAAATACAAACTCATGTGAAGCCACTAACCTATCAATATACCAAATGAAAAATATATACCCATGCTTCAAAACATTTTGTGCTTGTAAATTTACTAGCATATCGTGCCAAATCAATACATTTACTTTTTTGTTTGGGACTTGAGCCTAAAATCAATTATAGATTTACAAGTGTAAGGAGGTTGCTTCTTGAAGCAGGCAATTCGTCAGGTACTTTCTCTTCTTTGATAGATTGAAGATTAAATTCGAGAATACCAATAAGATAGTACAATTTGAAAAAACATCTGACAGAGAAAAATTAGCTTCAAACCTTAACAAACTTCGATATTCTCGCAATGTGCCTAAGAAGCAAGAATTCCGTGTCAACATTGTTGCTTACCATGTAGCTTCTGTCCTTTTCACACCGACCGATCTAACATAAAATAACAGTCGTGAATTACGTCGAATATTTTTATAATGCCATCACCTTTTACCACGAATTATCAAAAAAAAAAAAAATAAATAAATAAATAAATAAAATAAAAATAAAAATAAGCGCCGAATGCAAGTGTTTACAAAAATGTTGTGCTGAAACTCAAACAACATGTTCACATTGTTTCAACTGTGAAAAGCAAGCAATCTAAATTATAATGAAACAAACTTGAAAAACTTCATCTGCTCCAATGTGGAAATATTTCATGGCAAAATCTTTGTGTAGATTTAATATTTGTCTCAGCGCTTCCTGAACCAAATCAACTGCTCCTTCATCCGTCAAACAAATTACCTGAATGTAGTTACAGGAACGCCACTAAAATACCAACCGTAAGAAACAAAGACATAAATATGCCTCGGAATTACATGCAATTGGACAATTAGAACTTCCTCAATAAAATACAAAAATTTCAACAAACAGAAGCTGTAAGCCATACCTGTGGATATCGCTCCTCTTCGCGATATTTGGAGAAGTTAGGGTATTTCAAAATGTATTCCAGATGACCCACTGTTTGCACAAGAGGTATAATGTCCAAATTATGTGTCTGGATTGCACGGAGAAAACGACGCAATTCATCCAAAGTATATGCATTACCAGCTTTTATCCCGCTTAGTTTACCTTCAAAATTCATGAATTAATGACAACGAAGTTTTTTGAATGCAGTGGATGTTCCCAAGAAAACGGAAGGTAGCCATCTTATCGCAGTACTGCTGCGACCATTTCTAAAATAATAATGAAAAAAAAAAATGAAATCCAACAAAATTTATTGGTATAACAAAAAAAAAACGAAAAATTTTCACATCACAATGTCAAAAAAATTGAGAAAAACAAAGGAACATATGTACCTGTAAATGGAAACATGTCTTCATATTCGATCATTATTCCTGTTGCTCCAATCTGTTTAATAAATGGAACAAGCTTCAATAAATAGCCCATTTTTGGTGCTGCGCCTTTCAAATCCAAATGAAAAATGCGATTTGCTGTAAAATGTATATTTCTCTGCAACAAGCATAACAAAACCCATACAAGTACAATTAATTGAAAATAATAAGAAAAGTCAGATACATAATAATGTCCTTTTTTCATTAATTTAATAAGATAAACAGCTCATTCATACCAAGAAAGTTCAAAATTAAGTAAAGGAAAAAACTTTTAGAACTTACGTGCAATAAAGTAATTTTGCGAAGATGATGGTCTATGTAGTACTTTTTGGAAAACACGATCCCCATCAACGACAATTCCTTGCATACTTTCTAGGCTGTCTCTCTGAATTACGAATTCGATGATGTAAGAGACAATGATAACGCCACTTTTTTCTACACTTTTCCATGAATTTGAAGAAAATGGCCAAAATTGATTAACTGAACTTTTGCGATGTTGTCAACTTCCTGCCAAACGAAGTGTAGAAGAAACTGGCAAAGAAATTGAAGTCAGGTGTTCAGCTGAAATTCATTACCTTTACTCCATTAACTTTCGCTCCTGACTGGGCTTTACGTGACACATTACGCTGCATCCGCGACCCATCCTAAAACCAGTTTTTTCAAAATAAAAATTTTTTTTCAAAAAAATTCAAAATAAAATAACGTCCTTCCAATAAATTATGTTTTTTTATATTGATATATCTTACTTAAATATGACTTAACATCCTCAGTACTCACTATCTTCCAACCAAAATCCTTATGACTATTTTGCCTAACCATTTAATGTGCCGAATATTCTGACATCTTCTGAGGTCGCGCAGTGAAAAGATCGTGAACCAATATTTCAGGGTACCTTTCGAAAGAAAAAGCTTGCCTGATAGTCCATAATGAGGATCGTGGCTGTGTAAATCACTGTTAAAAGCGATATCGATAACGCAAATCGCCGAACCGATCTTCGCAACATTTCCTGAAATAATATTCCAAAACCCACAGAAAGAGAGCACTAACCATACATACCAGCAGACAATAACACCTCAGAGACCTACCGCACACGAACAATAAAGCAACCTGTCAAGCCAGTTCTCATCCTCTGTCAGCAAAAGAAGCATGGCACTTTTCACGGCCCGCCAGACTCAACGTGCAACCGGGTATGAATTGAGTGAATTTCAACTCGAATAGGGGGACGCATGTTAAATCGGAACAACTCCAGTTTAATTGAGGAGTGCTTGACCTCCAAGACCACTTTTTTTTCTTTAAATAACATGAAAATTATTGAACGTGGACTTCATGCAAGTTATTCATCTTATTGAATCCAAAAAAAAATCTGAATCTGTGTAGGCCTGTAGGAATGTTTTCACAATGTTTTCAATTATAAACTAGTGCTTATTTCCATCTTCCATCAAATGATGATACTTTTGTAGAACAAACTTTCACTCTTAACTGTTCTAACAAAACTGTTCGCCTTCAATTATTTTCCTCTAAATTTCTTTCAGTTTGGAAACCATTTGTACTCAACGCTAATCCAAATTGATATAAAGTTCATTTAATTGGCTTATTTTATTGAATTTATTACGAACCCACTTCATAGTTCTTTTTATAGTATATCATCATAAATTTCCAATAAATAATTTGCTAGATTACTGTGGTATGTTTAAAAAAATACAAACCTAAGCATTTATAAATATCACATAAAATGTTGCATAAACAAGCAGTTTTTCATGTGACAATACTCCGAGGGACTTTTGTATGTGTGCAAGATAGTAATTCTATACGAAAATGAAATTTGAGAAAAACAATTTACTGGGAAGTGGGAAGTTATTCAATGAACATCCTAACAGAAGCCAAAATTTCACTTCTTTTTTTTCTCTCACTACATAATTTTTTAAGCGACCAAAATTTCAGATTTTGCTACAGGATCTAGAAAAGCTCTAAAACTAAATTAGATTAAAACGGAATTCGCCACAGAAGGTACAGTGATCACAAAGCCACAATGATAACGATAATAATCTGGTCACATTTCTTTACTGTCAACAAATATCCTTAGAAATAAGAATATATGACATCAGTATTCCACTATTTGGCAGTTGCATTGGTCAGTAAATCAAATAAGGTGTGGTTCCGGTATACTAGTTCTGCCGGAGTGTAGGCCCAGAGAGGGAATTTGTCAAGCTCGAATAGGTATCTGGAATTGTTTATTTAATTACTTTTATGAAATTATTGTTAATTGCATAATATATGGAAAAAAAACATTCATGTTTTACTATTCACATGCAATGGAATGTAAGAAAAGGTAATGAACGATTTGTAATACCGCGTAAAATCTGAGGTGAAATCTCAGTCATAAGTAATTAGTAAAGCTGAAGCAAATATGCTTCACTAAGTTGATCATGATAGCATTTCTAATGATAGGCTAATAATGTACTCTTTTCTGGTCTAATCTGAAAAATTGACTTACGTTGCCCAAGTCATCATAAACAGTATTGCTAATAAACCACATTCGATAGTGGCCAATGTTCCAGCCAATAACTAAAAGAGATACGTTATGCTTTGGTTACAATAATCAAAAATTTTATCTGGAAAAAAAATTCAACTCGATGTACTTACCATATCTTTGACACGTAATAAGCCTGAGGCGAAAATGATTGCATTTGGTGGAGTTGCCACCTGAAATAATTTAAAGCTTCAAAAAAAAAAAAAAAAAAACCACAAAGAGATATCTTAACTATCATCTTCATGTTTGGCGTCCAAAAGTCAATTACAAAGTTCAAAATTTACTGGATGAAACGAACAGGCAAACTGAAAGCCATTGAAGACGCAAGAGCGGTAGGAATCATAAAATAAAGTGGATGAATTTCCAATGATTTCGCTAATTCTGCTACAATGGGAATGAAGATGGATGCTGTTACTGTGTTACTGCAAATATTTGTTAGGAATATGGTGATAAATATGCAAATTGCCATAATAACATTAACTGGGAACATTTGTAGTAATTGCATCATTTCTCCAACACGATAACTTAGGTTCGATTCCTGAAAACAACATTTGTATCAATTAGCCAGCATCTTTTATACAGACTAATATTTTTTTTTTTTTTTCATGCATTCTGAGTAATATATTCACGTATTAGTTAACTGATAATCATCTTCTTTATTCAGATCTCAAAAAATTTACTAAGATTCTGTTTCTTATTCAAATAGATTTGCAGCCGCTTTCTTTTTTTACTGTCAAAAAGCTGATCAATCGCAATTTTCTGCTGACTTTGAAAACAGTGGCCTAAAATTACACCGAATCACAGCTTTTCATGGATTTTTGCTTTCATTTTATTGCTTACTTGTAAGAACCTCATAAAACGCTTGAATTCCATCATTGTAGAAAAAAGATTTTATAAGAGAAGTTCGCTAATCGATGCTTTTTGGAAAAAATTTACCAGTTTTCTGACACTTTCTTGTCAGGGGATGAACTATATGATACCAGTAAACTACGAAAAATGCATATAAAACCATTGAGAAGGATTTTTCCATAATTTTCATATCAAAAAAAATTTAATTAATATGGACATTAAAGATAATAAATTTGAACGCTTATAATAAAATTTATCTTAAGTTTTCGTAAAATACTCTTTTAAATATGAGAAATTTTATAAAAGTAAGCTGAAAGATATGTGATAATGATTTGTATATCAGATTACATCCATAAATATTCATTCGGTGGTAAGAGAACAATGATTTCCTGGTTGTTATATTAAGTCAACAATCTGTTCTTATAATAAATTTCAAATTCATGAATGAAGAATTTTGAGTCCTGTATTTAGTACCTTGACACCGGCAGCCATTGCAAAGCCACCTCCAAGTAGCAGTACAACACTCCATGGAAATTTTGCTTGCACTGTTTTCCAATCCAGTAGTGTTTCGATATTCTCCGTTTTTCCTAAATTGTTATTTTATTTCGGACATATACTCAACTTTATGTTTTTCTCTGATCAAACATGATAAAAACAGTTTCAAAATTTGTTACCAAAGAAATTTGGCTTTTGAATCGGGACGGCAAATAATATGATTGCAACCAACATTGCACTTGTTGTATCTGTTACATATCTAAATTTATTGGGGCTGTATGAAAATGTTTTTAAAAAATTCTAAGAAAATTAAATGTAAATATTTCAAATAAGATATTCTGAGAATGTTAACTTATCTAAATTTCCTCAATTATATTTCTGAGTTTATTTTTTGAAAATATATGCGAATCACATGCCCTGTTTTGAAAAGAGCTCCGAAACCAGAAACAACATAAGGATCTCTTGTTATCCAAAGTGTTAACAATATTAAGAAGCAAATTGATACAGAGATTTCTGCAAACGATAAGCCTGGCAGTTCATCGTACTTCTGTCTCAGTTTGTCTTTAATCGTCTGGTGACCTGCATTTGTTACATCCTTTAAATTTTTATTTCATTCTGTATTTCAGTTGTTGGCTAATAGATATACGATTAATGAGAAGATTCAATATCACATATTAGTAGGATAAGTAGTTAGAAGAAAAAACATACGAGTGTTTAAGAGAAATTTTTTTGATTCTCAATAAAAAAGAAAAAAATAAACCTTTCGAAGCTTTCCGGAAGAAAATGAGTACTAGTGTTAACCATGTCATGAATAAGCATGCAGTAACAAGTGGTAGTGCAAAAACCATCCAGGATATGAAATTAATGTCTGTATCTGCGAGGGGGAAAATTCTAAAATAATATTTAATAGCAAATAGAAGAATAAATACGCTTTAAATCACTTCTTCAACTTAGAAATACGAATGCTAGAATCTTTGCTAAAAAAAAAAGGAAATAGAAAAATTTCCAGATTGACAATATATAAGTAATTGAAAAATAGTAACAAACTCTTTAATTTGGCCCAATAAAACAAGATTTGACGGTGTTCCTGTAATCGTTCCTGTACCACCGATATTTGCACCAAAAGCAACTGATATCAGCAATCCTTTGGCCATTTGATGTTCATCTTTACTTAAAATTTCTGTTGGATCTCTGGAAAACAATGTTTGACTATATTAAAGTTCATAATTATCACAGTAGTAAAAAGACTTGTATGATACAGTTCTTCAGTTTGTAGAGTGGATATATGACAAATTCTTCTTTGGACTTTTGGTCTGAATAGGTTATGTGCATACATCTTCCTCCTTGCGTATATTCTGTGTGAATGAATGCGTGTACTGCACATGTGTTATGCGTATTTTTGAGTTAATTTCATACGGAAATGCAAAATAAACCAAAAAGCACCTCGTACTAAAAGTACCGAGAGATTTCCTTCGTCCATCGCTGTTTTCATTATGCCTATCTTCAACCACTGCTTCACCCAATAGACTATCCTGTAGAGCTTAAAATCATAAGATGCGTCTTCTCAAATTATAGTAATGAAATTTGATCACTGTTATATAATTGATCACTTTTTGATGACGGGATATTTTAAATAAAGCACAAATTAATTTAAAATCTACTGACAGAGTTGTCAAGTACATTATTGGTTTTACATGTTTGATAAATATGAAATCTTACAGTAAACTGATTTCTACGATTACTTTTGATAAGCTCGATAATAACAGAATTGGCAATAGGTACCATGAGAGCAGCGGTTGCTGTGTTTGATATCCACATACTGCAATTTGTTCTTTTCTTTTTTCCTTTTTGAAAACCGAAAAGTCAACTACATAAATACTAGAAGCTTTTCACTACAATTGCACCTATTAGGAAATATAAATTACCTTAAAAATGCAGTTACCAACATGAAACCAAGCATAATCCTGAAAATGAAACATTGCCATTGATTTGATTTTAAAAAATTGCTGAAGTAATGGAAATCCATGTTTAAACCTTTTATCATCATATCAGTTTGGTAAATGACCTTTTTAAAACCATTAACCCACCAAGAAGAAATCAAAGAATTTCAAAATAGAAATTCATTCTTTTTTTTTTCATGCTGAAAAAATCTGCAAAATCTAATAACAAACGGAAAGATCATAAAGTACAATATGAAATAGTAACCAGCATGGTTGGGGTGGAACAGTAGTTAATACGAATAAGGCGACACGATTGTGTAATTTGCATTTTTGA